ATATATAATTTAATATATTAAAAAAATAATTTTTGATAAAATAAGAGCATGCATATTTATGTTTGATGCTTTCTATTTATTGTACACATTGATTAAAAAATTAAAATAGTAAAATTCGTAAGATTTATGTTCTATTTAAAATTTTTATTATAAAATATGTTTTTAAATAAATTATCATTTAAAAATTTATATTAGATATTAAAAACATGTTTATATCATAAATAAATTAAATTTGATTTTTATAAAATTTAATATATTTATTTTTAAATTTTTATTAGTGTTAAATTATTATAAAGTAGGTCTTTGAGATTGTAATTCTAACCAAACATTAAAAAAGTGTCTATGACAGATAAATAAATCATACTTAGAACATGTATTTTCAGTAAAAAATAAATTCAAACTTATTAAATTATAAATAATTTAGTCTAACCTAGTTCTAGTCGTAAAAGTGATATATAAATTTTTAATACTACAAATATATAAATAAATATTGCCTCCACTACTTAAAATTTCTATATCCGTCACTGTCTATGATAGTCGATAGAGTGAGAAGAAAAATTGAAAAAGAATATATTATTTTAGAAGAGTGGGCAATTATTTATTGGAGTACATAGTTATTTTAAATAAGTTGAAGGATAAAAAGATATGTACGGTCAGAGAATGAAAATTAATTTTATTGAAGATCAATAACGTGCTTTAAGAATAAAATAGGAAAGTCAATGTAAAAATCAATGTCGTCATTTGATAAAAACATGTAACTGTAAAGTCCTTTGAGAAGTTTCATATTAAGCCCATAACATTAATTTTTATTCCCATGTGAGAGTTGAATGCCATGGAATGAAGGGTATAATTAAGTGGGGTTGAGTTGAATTGAGTTTAAATTAATCTATTATTTGATCTTATCAAAATTTAATTAGTTGAATTAAATAGAGTTTGTATATTTTTATTTTTTAAGACCAATTCAATCTAATATAATAATAAATGGGTTAAATTGGATTGGGTCAATCGAGTCAATATAATTAAATTTATTTATTTTTTATAAAAATTTAAATATTTCATAATAAATGTAAATTATTTGATATCTTATTGCATATGCAATATTATTAACCAATAAAGAAAATAATATTACAAACTAAATTTTAAAGTAAATTTGTTGATTTATTACATTGTTATGGACTCAAGTAACCAACATTAATATAAAATAAAATTTAAAATAAATATATTGCATTATTACAATATTATTAATCCAAAAACATAATATACTAAATAAAAGTAATAAAGAATATTATCGTGAACAAGTGATTATTATTATTATTATTATTATTATTATTATTATTATTATTATTATTATTATTATTATTATTATTATTATTATTATTATTATTTCGTGAGATCTCCAACATAATCCTTTGTACCAAAGACTAAACATTTCGAATGTAAAGTTTGCAAGTTAAACTTTTGAAAATGATCTAATAATGGTCAAATAGTGAGTAATTGATAAAAATAATCACTGAGATAGACTCTTATAAGAAAGTGAATTCTAACTCAACTTAGTAAAATCAAAATTATTTCCACTTATATATTATATTTTAGTCATATTACTACTATCTTAAAAATGTAAATTTGGACATAATTCAATTTTATAAAATTAATTATAAAATAAAAATTGATCACTCTTATATACTTTATTTTAATTATAGCACCGGTTAATATGAGATTTTTAACGCTTCTCTTATATCGGGGATGGAATATCATGAGCATAAAATTTGCAAACTGAACATTTACGAAAAATTCGACCTCTATGTTAAGGTGACCCATAAATTCAATAACAATCTTAAGAAAATAAATATAAATTTATCTAACTCAAGTATAAAAACTCGAGAATTAGCCTCAATTATTAATTATATTTTAACTTTATAACTGATCAATCTACCTGAAATATCTGACACAACTCGGGCAAAGCTTATCTGCTCTCTCCTTTATGCATCGATGATCATTTGCTATTACTAACATTCTGTCTTTTGGCTGTCGGTTCCTGGTGCTAGTCCACATTGTTCCAACTTCCAAGTGCTGGTTGGTGGCAGCCAATTGTTGAAACTTTGCATTGACCAACACAAACGGTAGCTATGCAATTTATCCACCTTCCTATCATAGAGCCCATTAGGTACGTGGTACTTGGGTTTGTTAAAAATCTTGTCTAGATCCTAAAAATTGACAATTCCTCCCCTTAAGCTTCTAGGTCTTTATTTCTTTTTCGCCACTTTATATATGCTAAGAGACACATTTACATAACTAACTATACAAGCGAATTCTCTTAGATAAACCATATCTATTTAATTATATGAATAAAAAAGGTCTAAATTTATTATATATACCAAATGGCTATATAACCATATAAACCACAAAAACTTACAATTTGCAAGTCGTATTAAGGTATTTTGGAGTAGTGGATATTGATAATGAAGATTGATGAGATGTCGATATGTATGTAATAGGTATAACCCTTAAGTTCGATACAACTTAAATAATATTTAAGAAAATAAAATTATATGTTTAGTGTTGGTTATATATAGCTTTTTGTCTAGCGTGATAAATATTTAATGGACGTACGTGCTCAAATCCACATGCATTAATGAACTCGAGATTCGAAAAGACATCTTAGATATCTCCCCGGATAAATTAAATGCCACATGTATACAAGATTATATCTTTTCAACGCTAAATAACACAAGTTTAATCACTATCGAACAAGTAGTTTTTTTAATCTCATGCCCCTATTTTCTACGACTCTTTCAAATTAATATATGGGCAAGGCTGTCGGATTCCTCAAAATCTTTCAGAATGGCTTTAAATTCTTGATCCTTAATTTACATTCATCAAAATTAATTATTGGTTTCAAAGAATAATGCAGCGCAAAAGTTAAGTAATAATTTGCAAATGACATAGAGGCTGTCGAAATCGCACATGAGGTGCTCATCTACGTAGCTTTTCCAAGACATCTTCGATTCATTTCAATTTACACATCATTTGTTGTGACTTGTTATCATCAGAAGAAACATTTGTTGTGCATCCATGTAGTTTTGCCCAAGTGAGGCCAAGGTGACAGCAAATGGCAGTGGAAGGGGAGAGAGAGGAATAGTCAAGAAAGAAAGGTGTTAAATTACTCTAGTGAAGGAAAAAATAAATCACTCCCTCCCTACCGCCACTCCACCATAAAATTGTAATTAAGAACTAGATTAATTTAATGATAGATAACAATTGTGCATCAAAAATTACCTAATTCCTTCTTCACCTTAACCTTCATCATATTTGAATACATTTATTTAAAAACACTTTACAGAAAAAAAAAATTAAAATAAATTTCTCTATAAATTAAAATTAAGTTATACATGCAATAAAAATAAAATTTTGAAAACTAGTAAAGGAAAACTTCTACAAAATTA